TGAATTTTTTGCTGTAAATTTTCAAACACATTTTTCCAATTCAAAAAAAAAAGAAGCTAAAATAATGACTGTTGAAGTAAAAAAAAAATCTCTGAATCATCAAATTTGATTCCGAAAATTTAAAACAGTTATTACATGTCAATTTTGGAAAAAGTAATATATTGGGGGAAAAGGCTGTGGAAGAGGTTGTTGTACGAAAGAACCATGAAAGTTCTCAGCCACTACCACAAAGTATGTCGCTTCGCTTTCACTGAATCTTTCCTTCATTTTTCCTCATTTCTGCACTCTTGGAATCCATTTTTGCATTTTATGTTTTGGTAAATAATTTACCAAATTTCATGATTTGCAGCACTTATTTTTGTTTGGCGTACAGATTAGTAACATTTTAAAAACGAATAACTTAAATGAAATTTTTTTATATCAGCTAATTATTTACTTAATTATAAATACAGTAAATTTTTTTGAGTACAATCAGTAGATACCCCCAATAACAAAAATTCTTTCTCTTAGGATGCTGACAGCAACTAATATTTCCTCTCAACCAAGTGAATAAATGTATTTTTAATGCTTGCGTGAAATATTACTTTTTTATTTTATTACTTGAGTCCTTAATATCCTGAACTTGCCCTACATTGAGATGAGTCTTCACAAGAGCCAAAAGAATCCAGATCGAGCATTACCAGACCCTTTCAAGTGTGCTGGCTCTACAATTGAGTTTTAACTATTGCATTTCCAAAACTCAATCTTGTGATTAGTAATTAAACCAGAACAACATTTTACTAATTGTTCTTGATACTTAATTAGTGGCGAATATTATTAAGGTGTACAGAACTAGTAAAAGCTATATTTTTGTGGGAATAATTCTGCAACCCCAAATTTTGTGGGAAACTTAATTCCCTGATCCTCATACTTTTAGCAAATTTTGAAACAAGCCCATTTATTTTATTTCGTTTTAATTGGCTCCGTCTGGTTTTCTGTGTTGAGGATTGGAAGGTCATTCTCAAATCTGTCACTGCAAGGTGATAAGAACTATTATGACATAATTTGATGAGAGGAAACATATTATAAAAGATAAGATTTTGTCAACAACAATCTAGCTATGATTTTTATAATTATAGTAGTCAACCACAAATTGTTGACCCAAAAAATCAAACCGACGTCTTGATAATGATACGGGATTATTTAATTACAAGTAAAAGTGTAAAACACTACAACTCAATTTTATTCGAACACAAATAATTAAGATAGTCTTAACTAAATTTCCATTTTTAAAACCATTGCTGCTCAACCACATTTTTAAATATATGAACAACTAATAATTCCCCTAAAATTATTTTTAAAAAATGTACAATATGTTAATTTTTAGCTATTTTAACTTTCAATTTTTTTAATTTTTTAAGAACCATATAAATGTCACTCGTTTAAATATAAATTTTTACTAACTACGAACCTACTAGCGTGCGTGTGTGTGTGTGAAATAGTGAATGGACGAAGCAAAGATTGAATATTATGCTTTAAAAAAGAATTGAGCAATACATGGTATACGCACGACCCCGAGCCAGTGGAGGTATAATTAAATAAAACTTAAAAATGAAAAAATAATTTAATATTTATAAAATAAATATTTGGTTTTGTAAAATAATATTAGGAAAGAAAAAATTCAAATGATATTTTATTCTAAATTTAAATATAATGTACTCAAAATTTAAAATATTTTCAACTTGAGTGAAATTTAAAAGACCTAAAATTTTTTTGAACTCAAATATATTTTAATTTGGGTTTAATTGGTTCAAAACTAGTAGGGTAATGGGAGCAAATTTTTAAAATTTTCACCTCTTCTTTATAAATTTTTCCAAGTTAAGTGAGGATACTTGCCCACCCTTAACTATGACTAGGTCCGCCACTGATATATATATATATATATATATATATCTAGCCTAATGTACATTGCAAATTGTGTTAATTTTCACAGAGTATATAATAATTTAGGAATGTAAAGAAAATTTAATCAATTGATTATAATATCCCTTGGTTGATTAAGAATAATGTTTTTATGAACAAGAATTTAAATGTGAATGAGAATAAATTGTGAATGAGTTTTTATAAAATGAAATAATTGTATCTCATAAATCATAAAAATATAATTAAATTGAAATAATAATTATTATATAAAAATAATTTAATTTATTTATTTTATTCTGGTTTTAAAATTTCAAAATACGTCAAAATATCTTATAATTTATTTTTTTAAAAAAAAGACAAATATGATGGAAGTAACGTACATTCGTGTGAAAGAAATGTCAATGACTGGATGGAATAAAAATTGCTATGTGAAAGGAATAAATAATTTTCTGGTGGATAAGATAATCTTTTTTTTTTTGGTAACCAAACAAACATATTTCAGGATTATTTCCGGCTCATAAAAAAAACGCACACATTTCAGGATGGAATTTTTACGTTAAATGACTTCCGAGTAGATGCGGGCAGCCACGTCAAAACCAATTGTAATATATATGTACAATAACAGTAATACTGTCTTAAAAATTATACTCCTTCCATTAAAAAATATTTAAAAAATTGTATGTTAAAAAATATAAAATATTTTTAGTATTTTAAAGTAAAATTATTGTGTTTTTTCTAATTACTTCTAGTAAATGAGTCACTTTATATTTATTTTAAATTAAAACACCATATTAAATATGAAATAATATGCAAAGATGATATTAATTTAAAGATAATTAATTACTTTATTGAAGATTAGATTCTGTTAAAAATGAGAAAGGATGGAGTAATAAATAGTGATCACAATTCCTCTTAAATTTTATACAATAGAAAAATGTGTCCATCTACACAAAAATACACTATAATTATTCTCGTTTGAATCAAGGTCAAAATTTATTAAATAAAATAATTATTAAAATTACATATAATATATTTTTCGATTTCTTTAAATATAATATTTTAATATATTAATAATCTTAGGAATTGTAATTGATTAAATATTAATTAATCTGAAAATATAATATTTACAAAAGAAAAATCTAATTCGACTCATGAATCTCATTGATGAGTTTGTCTCAAATTACTCAAGGAATTGAAATTAATAAATATTGGTCAACAAATAATAAAATTTATAAAATAAAATAATAAAAGTACTCAAAAAATTGTTGGTTAGATTCTAAAAATAATTTTATTCTTCAATATCAAAATAAACCTACATCATCAAATGAGGAATCAAGCAAGTGAGTTCCAGGGTGTCTAGATACTTTTTTTTTTTTAAAATGACTTCCACATGGATACCAATCCTCACGTCAATTCATTTGAAAGTAATCAAAATATAATGGGGGTGTGTGTATTGTAGAAATTAAATTGGACTCGTGAGTTTTATCAATGAATTAATGCAGTTTAATTGAACAATAACTCATCTAAAACTACTGAATAATATATTTAATTTGATGAAAATTGGTCAAGAAATGATGAAATTAAGGAACAAAAAAAAATAAAGAAATAAAGAGAATTATTTTTTTAAAGATAATAATAAAAGTAAGTATTAGTTTAAGCAAGCTTAAATTAATTATAGTTTTTCATTGATTCAAATGTCTATTATTTATGCCCCGAGTCGGAAAGGATAAATTAATTCTAATTTAATCATAATGATATAAATAAACTTTAATTTAAGAATAAAATTTTGTCCCTAGTGATATGCTCTCTCCTTCTTATGTATAAATCATCTTTTAGATTTTTATAAGTTAGTTTGTATAAAAAAATAGATTATTAATTACTTTTTTTTATTTTACCCCTTCATAATTTTTTTAGTAGGCTAGAAAGTCATATGATCAATTAAAGTTGACTTAAGTGAGAAAAACCCTTATCACTTGAGTCAGTGATTGTTAGGGGTTTGAATCTTAACTTAGTTTAAATTTTTACTCATTGCCCTTAGCACCTTGAGAGAAATAATACTTGAGATCAATGGAGCCTACTCCTTATATTATAAAAAAGAAAAAGATGTTGTAGATGAGAAAAAAAAATGTTTTTGAACGTGATATATTTAGTAACGATAAATTGAGAAATTCATTTTTTTAAACAAATTAATAATTTAATTATATTTTTTTAATTCTAATAAATGAGTTAGATATGACATACTCCTTGGCCTTCAATATGAGATAAATTTACCAATTTTATGCTTATTAAAAAAGGATGCTTACTCCATATCATTCAAATTGAAATAGTTTAAAAACACATGTAACTTTTTAATTTCACCCGTTTTTTGAAATTAATAATTATATTAAATTATTGTCTCTAGGAATTTAAATAATAATAATTAAATAAGGGATAAAATTAAAAAAATATTAATTTCTAAAACTTTATCTTGTATTAAAGATATTTTTAAAATCTGTCTTATATTTAGGATGGAGAGAAATATATACTTCCTTAATTTAAAAATGTAAATTTTTTTAAGAAATTAAATATTAAAAAAGTAAAGTATTTTTAATGTTTTAATATATAATTAATCTAATTTTTTTAAAATTTTTTAATAAATAAATTACTTTATATTAATTTTAAAGTAAAATATCTTATTAAATAGAAGTACATATAAAAAACAAAAAATTAATTAAAAATTTTTTAGATTCTTTAAAGGAAAAGTTGATTAGGAGAGCATGAATATATCCTATGATGCTACAGGGAGTAAGCTGGCATTAAGTGGTAAGAAATTTCCGACCAGAAAACCAAGGTGGTGAGAAGCAGAGTCCTCCCACCAACCCTGGCTATCCTCCCCGGTTTTTCCACTAAACTTCGTCGTTGACGAGTAACTTGGAACTCCAACATGGACATAAACCCACCACACCACTGACCTCACTTCCTCTCCACGTGTCACCATCCTAGCTCTCCATTGCTGTGATCCATCCGACGCTCCATCTCTCTTCTCAACTAACCCCTCGGCTTACCCACCTCTCACTCAATATTTCCCTCCCTCCCTCTATATATTCCCCCACCCGCCCTTCTCCTTCCTCAGCAAGCTTCGAACCAGAACCAAATCAAATCCCTAATTCTTCCTCTTGCCCGCCATGGAACTTCCTAAACTCAATGACGATCACAATGGAGCCTTCAAGCTTTGCAATAATGATCCTCTGAACTGGGGAATCGCGGCGGAGGCTCTCAAGGGGAGCCATTTGGACGAGGTGAGGCGGATGGTGGAGGTGTACCGGAAGCCGGTTGTGCGCATCGCCGGCAAGTCACTGACGATATCGGAGGTGGCTGCAATTGCCAACCACGACGCCGGCGTGGCCGTGCAGCTTTCGGAGGAGGCTCGTGCCGGCGTGAAGGCTAGCAGCGATTGGGTCATGGAAAGCATGAATAAAGGCACTGACAGCTACGGAGTCACCACCGGCTTCGGTGCCACCTCACACAGGAGAACCAAGCAGGGTGGGGCCCTCCAGAACGAGCTCATCAGGTAAATTCCATTTTTTCATCTCTGAATCCTTTTCTTTTTCAAAATATATCTAATTCAAAAATAAATTCCTTCATAAGCTTATAATTCCTAAATTGTATGATCGCAGTGTTAACGTGCTAAAAACTTAAAATACTTCCTCCAATGTTTACCAGAATTTTAAAAATTCTTCAAATTCATTAATTTTAAATAAAAATTTAAAATTTTTAATAAACTTTTAACTTTTATATGTGTGTGTTTTAATGATATATTTTTCACCTAAGTTCTTTTCGCTACTCTATAAATAGGAATGAGGAGAGTATAGATTAAAAAAAAATTATAATTCAGTAATTAATGATAATTAATTGGGGCAAAAAAGTAATTAACGATTAATTAAAAATTACCATAAAGTACCTCCTGAAATTGCTTCAGGTGACAAAGGCCAAAGGGTGAGCATGAAGATGTCGGAGTTCAAACTTTCTTCGCATAGCTAGAAAATAAAATGGGCGTCTTATCAATAAGGGGGGAATAATAAAAAGGACGAAAGCTTGAATAAAACTAGGGACATACGACCAATTTAAATTGATCTAGCAAATTGGATTAGTCCCAAAACATGACAAATTAAGATTTAAATTTCTATTAATCATGTTCTGAATATAATTTTCTTCAATCAAAATATTCATGCATGTAATGGAAAACCGAAGGATATGCAATTAATATAGAAAAATTAAACGGGAGCATGTGAATTGTCAGGAGAGTAGCATCAAAGTTATAAATGAAATTTGTGGTTTGACATTTGAAATTACCATGTGGTCCTCCGATGCTTCAATTATGGTGACGGCATGGGAGTAGCATTTCTACGAGTTTCTATATGAGATGTTAGGTAAGACATTCATTGTCGGATTAATACCTGTTAATTAATTTAAAGAGTAGTTAATTAATTTTGGGTTACTTGGAAGAAAGCATCGTTTATCAGTGCGATCTGTTATATATATTTTATTTAAATACCAATCTCTCAAGATACCTTATGTTTAATCAAACTTAACACAAGAGACGACCACGATCGAATGTTTAAACAATAATAGACAAAAAAAAGTAAGTTTAATTATGATTTAATAGTGAAAATTAATTTAAATTTAAATTAATGGTACAAAAAAATGTGGAAGGCCTGTCAGTTCATCTGCATGAAGGCAACAACGATGATGGTAATAAGTACTCATTTTTTTAAAAAAATTATTTATAAATTATTTTTAACATGTTTTATTAAAATTAAAAAAATTATACTTTAATAAGATGCTTTATAATAAATTTTTAACTTTAATCTTATTACATATATTATATTTTAATTAGACTCATCGAAATTCAATAAAGAATGGAAGGAGAAATATATGATAAAAAAATTATAACATGATTTATAAATAAAATTAAAAAAATTATTTTCTCTTTGCATTCTAAATATCTTAGTAACATTTAATGAAAGTAAAAGGCAAAAAATTGTGATAAAAATTAAAAAACATGACTCTTAAATACCCCTTCATTTCAATTTATAATATTTTTAAATAAAATTATATATATCAATAAAATTTATTAAATATATTTTATAACCTTCCTTTTTTAAAATAAAAATATAAGTTTTTAAAAATATTCTTTATTATTTAATACTTTATCTGTGAAAGAATATTAAAGGTAAAAAATATAATAAAAAAGATAATATTAAAAAAATTTTATTAATAAAATTTTATTTTTATTAAGACATCTGAACACAAAATTCTCTCCATAACACAAAAAATGTTCTTCCTCTACCCTATACTCCCTCCATTTTTATTTGTTGGAAAAACTTTTACTTTTAATTTTTTTAAGTAAAATTAAATATGTTAATGAGCATTTATTATAAATTTTTTAAATTATTTCTCATAATTTATATTAATAAAAAATAATTAATACATACTTATAATGATTAATATAAGGTATTTTAATCTAATTTTTTTATTTTCAAACATAATTATTATAATTAATTAATTTTTTTCTCCCTTTGTTTAAAAATATAAGATATTTTTAATGAATCTCACCCCCAATAAAATAATTATCTACTTTCAAATTAATTCTATTTTTTTATATTTATTTCTATTAAATACTCTATAATAAATATAAATTTATTATTAATAAGTGTATTTTTTTAAAAAAATAATAATTACATCTCAAAAAATTAAAATATATTATATTTTTAAATATTTAACTTTTCATAAAATATCTTTTATTTTTTAATGAAAATAAAAAAGAGGATATAAAAACAAGAGGAGTAATAACTCCGAAAAGTGGGCGGGTCCCAAACCATTACATTATGTGTTTTTTTTTTTTTTTAAATCATTATACCATGTCTTGAGTACTCTTTCTGTCTCTAAATACGGAGAAAATAACCAACTCACACAATTTAACAATAAAGTTAGTTAAATGTAATAAATTAATAATTATGTCTAAAAATTTAAAAGTTGAACTAAATTATTCTTGTAATTAATAAAACATATTTATTTAGTAAAAATAAACATTAACTTTGTGAGGAATAATTTGAGAAAAATGTGATAAATGCTTTTTAAAATTTGTAGTTGTACTTATAAATAAAAACAAAAGATAAACATGATAGATTTTCTTATATTCAAGGGAGTAGAATGGTTCAATGGGCAGAGCATTCATTAGAAGGTAGAAACCGATATTGTGGTTATTGGATTACATCTTCATTCATTCAGAACACAGGCACACGATTTAGGTTAGTTGGTGGATGAAATCGAAACATTAATAAAATCTGCATTTTGGCTATGATATATCATATAAAATAGTCCGTATTTGTTGTGCTTTTCATTTCGCAAGTCATTTGAAACAGTAACCTAATTGCTCATGAGATCGAGTCAATTTTCTTAATATAAAATAAGCGGCTGTCACCTGTTACATGTAACATAATGAATAACCTTGATTTTTTTTTTTTGGAATGAATAATGGAAAAAGTGTTGTGAATGTCTACCAAAAAACAAAACAAGATTTTGATTTTGATGGTGCGAACAGGTTCTTGAATGCTGGCATCTTCGGCAATGGCACAGAATCGAGTCACATGTTGCCTCACACAGCCACAAGAGCCGCCATGCTGGTGAGAATCAACACTCTTCTTCAAGGATACTCTGGCATCAGATTTGAGATCTTGGAGGCGATGACCAAGTTTCTTAACCAGAACATAACCCCATGCCTTCCTCTCAGGGGCACCATCACTGCTTCCGGCGACCTCGTACCTCTATCTTACGTTGCCGGCCTCTTGATCGGCCGACCCAACTCCAAATCCATAGGTCCTGATGGCAAGGTCCTCTCTCCTAAAGAAGCCTTTCAACTCGCCGGAATCCATGGAGGTTTCTTTGAACTTCAACCCAAAGAGGGGCTGGCTCTTGTTAACGGTACTGCTGTAGGATCTGCTCTAGCTTCCATGGTTCTTTTCGAGGCAAACATTCTGGGTGTCCTGTCGGAAGTTCTGTCTGCGATTTTCGCAGAGGTTATGCAAGGCAAGCCTGAGTTTACAGACCACTTGACTCATAAACTGAAACACCATCCTGGTCAAATTGAGGCTGCAGCTATAATGGAACACATTTTAGATGGAAGCTCTTATGTTAAAGCAGCACAGAAGCTTCATGAGATTGATCCTCTTCAGAAGCCTAAACAAGATAGGTATGCTCTGAGAACATCTCCTCAGTGGCTTGGACCTCAGATTGAAGTGATCAGACAGGCGACGAAGATGATCGAGAGAGAGATCAATTCTGTGAACGACAATCCATTGATTGACGTTTCAAGAAGCAAGGCACTTCATGGAGGTAACTTCCAGGGCACTCCAATTGGCGTTTCAATGGACAACACTCGCTTGGCCCTTGCTGCTATTGGAAAACTCATGTTTGCTCAATTCTCTGAGCTTGTCAATGACTTTTACAACAATGGCTTGCCTTCAAACCTCACGGCGAGCCGAAACCCGAGCTTGGATTATGGCTTCAAAGGAGCTGAAATCGCCATGGCTTCATACTGTTCAGAGCTCCAATTCCTTGCCAATCCTGTCACAAACCATGTCCAGAGTGCAGAGCAACACAACCAAGATGTGAACTCTCTAGGGCTAATTTCCTCAAGAAAGACAGCTGAAGCTGTGGAGATACTCAAGCTCATGTCCTCCACTTTCTTGATTGCATTATGCCAAGCCATTGATCTGAGGCATTTAGAAGAGAACTTGAAGAGTACTGTGAAGAACACAGTGAGCCAAGTGGCCAAGAGGGTCCTGACAATGGGAAACAATGGTGAATTACTGCCATCAAGATTCTGTGAGAAGGACCTGCTCACAGTGGTGGATCGTGAGCATGTGTTTGCTTACATAGATGATCCCTGCAGTGCAACATACCCATTAATGCAGAAACTGAGGCAGGTTCTGGTTGATCACGCATTGCAAAACGGTGACAGAGAAAAGGACTCTAGCACGTCCATTTTCTTGAAGATCGCAGCTTTTGAGGAAGAACTCAAGACCCTTATGCCCAAAGAAGTAGAAAGTGCGAGGATGGAGGTTGAGAATGGAAACCCTGCAATCCCAAACAGGATCAAAGATTGCAGATCTTATCCAATTTACAGATTTGTGAGGGAAGAACTGGGCACTGATTTGCTAACAGGTGAGAAAGTGAGGTCACCCGGTGAAGAATTTGACAAGGTGTTCACTGCATTGTGCGGAGGAAAGTTGATTGATCCTTTGTTGGAGTGCCTCAAGGAGTGGAATGGAGTTCCTCTACCAATATGCTAGGATGTAATATTATAGTTTCCGTATAATGAAAGCGTATAACTGCTGATGATGTAATAATAATATGCCACATGTAATAATGAAAGCACGTAATTGAGTGAATGTGATAATAATATCCATATATCAGCTCAGCATTACTGTTTGTCTCATTTTTCAATTCTGCTTTTCCTGCAACTCAATATTCCTCACAAACCATTGTGAATTTAGTCGAGAAAAGTGATCCAAAACTTACAACACTCGTTTGAAATTTGTCGAGTAGGGATATATATATTGAAATCAAGCTCATGGTGAAAAATAAATTGATCATTGAACTGTTACAAATAGTGATAGTTGTTTAAGGGTAAATGATTTAGTTGTGGTTAAATTTGATCAATCTTTAAAATAGTATAATTTAATTAAAACAAAAAAAACATTCATATATAATCTTAAAAAGAGTAATATTTAAATAAAAAGTCATTAATTCACAAGCACAAAACATTCATGTGTAAATCACATAAAATCCAACAAAAAGAAGTTAGAATTGGGAATATGGTTGAGAGAAATATGATTTGTGTTGAGGTTCAACTCATTTTTATACTAGCTGAAAAAATCTCAATCTAACTCAACCATTGAGGGTTGGTGAGTTAAATTGGTTAACCATGTAACACACCAAATTTTTTTTTAAATAATTTAACTCAACCATAGTTGGGTTACAGCCACCCAACACATTTTTATATCAATAATTTCAGTATAAAATATTTTATAATTGACTTCAACTCACACACTATAACATTTCAGATAAATTTTTACCTCCCACATGCCATTAGGCTAAATCACATTTGTCCATCCTTATACTCCTAACAAGTAAAATAAGCAATTTAGTCAATTTTCAACACGAGCCAGTTATTTGGCCTTATGATCATGCCATTTTAACCAATCCAAAGTAAACCAAATATTAAAATTACAGTCATCCAAATTGTACCAAAAATAGAAATAGTTTGAAAAGCATGATTACATTTATATATTCATATAATTGACAATAAACAAAAAAGTCCTAATATTGGCAATATAACACATTATAAATCATAAATTAAATACTCAAAAGAGACAGTGGATCTATACCACTAAGCCTCTGAGACTCCTCCACGTGTCACTCGTGGCTCTTCTCCTGAAAATTGTTAACCACATAATGAGACTCAAAAGTCCCAGTAACCAAAGTCAATTTATGATAGTGTATACAAACAATTAAGTGTGTGCTTACTAAGTGAGAATTAAAAATAATATAATTCTAACAAATATAAGAAATATTACAATACACACAAACAACCATCCTTATATCCCTCCATTAACCTCGAGCCGTAGCCCTCACTCGGTGCTAAATTACCCGACCAAAGGTAGATTAGCCCGAGCCCTTACAAGCCACCTATTGAGCTCTAATAGGGGCGTACCACGTGGCACATAAATACAACAACAATGGCAAGTCTCCCAACACCTCCCACAATAATCAAACAAATTCATAATAATATTGCACAATATACAATATAAAAAAATTCATAATTTTCTCAATAATCACCCAATTAATATGAAGTAACACTAATCATAAATTAAAAGCATGGTTACCTCGTGGCTTTTTCAATAAATTATTCCTTAAAATTTCTCTCTCACCACAATCTTCACCAGTAATACAATCTACAAATAACATATTATTTATAAATATTAGTTTCAATTTTTTGAAACTAATAAAATAATTCTAATAATAGAATTAAAAATATAACATAATTCTTAATCTCAATCTTAATACAAATCTAGAGTCAATACTATTAAGTAAAATTTTTAACTCCTCTTTTAATTATCAATAAACATTAATAATCTAAAAATCAAATTTTAAACTAATTTTTATTATCAAAATTTTCTTTTTATTTCATAAATTCGTACCTAAAATACCCAAAAAAAAATTAAAAATTGAGTCTCTAGCTTAGAATCATAATCCTATAACCATAATAATTCATTTCCCATCCTAAATAATCATCTAAACCTCAATAAATCAACATATATTTTCAGATCTAGTTTAGAATTTGATCCATAAGCCACAAATTCAAAGATCATCAACAAATTTATACTCTAGAACATTTATTATACTACTGACAACCTCAAAAATCATATTTATTCAACAAAAATTCATCCCTCTTCCAGATCTTAAATTTTCTACCACTACAAACTCAGAAACTAAAGAAGAAGGATGACTAAGAAAAATTTTTAGAACACTTACTTAGTCTTGAAAAACTTAAAATCACACTCTAAATATCCTATTAAAAACTCTTACCTTAAAAACTCAGATCTCCTGCATCGGTGAAACTAGACGCTCTCTCAGCCTCAGCTCGCACACAGGGAAGAATGAAGAAACGAAGGAAACAGGTGAGTTTTTATAAAAATTCAGTGGGTCCCACATCTTTTTTTTTATTATTTCTTCTCTCCTCTCTCTTTTTTTTTATTATTTCTTCTCTCCTCTCTCTTTTTTTTATTATTATAATATAAATATAATCATTGCGGGGAAGAGCACCGAAAGCGTCTTGTTCTCTTCTTTCTTTCCTTCTTTCTCATACTTTTTTTTATTATTATTATAATAATAATAATATTTTAATAATAATATTTTATTATTATTATTATTATTATTATTATTTTTTTTTTATTTTTTTAAATTTAGAATTATATCCTAAGTTAGATTTAATAATCATCTCCTACTAATTTACTTACCTCTAAATATTTTTTTTAAATTTTTATTTACCAAAAATTAACTATTAAAATTTAAATTGGGATGTTACAATTCTCCCCTCCTTTTAAAAATTTTGTCCTCAAAATTTAAAGTTAGTAACTATTAACTACTTACTTAATCAAAAAGATGAGGATAATCACGTCGCATACTGTTCTCGGTCTCCCACGTAGCATCACCTGGAGTTGTGCCCTTCTAAATTACTTTAACCAATCTAATGGTCTTGTTTCTTAATTGCTTGTCCTTATAATCCACAATCTCTTTCGGTTCAGCTCTGAATGTTAAATTCTCCCTGAGTTCAATCTCCTCGGGTTCAATTATATGGGAAGGATTGGTTGATACTTCTTTAATTGTGATACATGGAATACATTGTGTATACCAGCAACTTGGGGTGGTAATGCTACTTGGTACGCTACTGGTCCAACTCATTTTAAGATCTCAAAAGGCCCCATAAACCTTAGTGTCAACTTCTTAGCCTTAATAGCTCTTCCAACACCAGTTACTGGAGAGATTTTCAAAAATACATGGTCACCTACTTCAAACTCAAGCGGTCTTCTCCTCTTATCCGCATAACTCTTTTGTCTACTTTGAGCTGTGAGTAATTTTTGCTTGATTAAAGCAATCTTTTAGGTAGTCTCATCAACAATGTCTGGCCCCAAAATAGTTCTCTCACTTAATTCTATCCAACACAGTGGCGATCTACATTTTCTTCCATATAATGCCTCATAAGGTGCCATCTGAATGCTAGAATGAAAACTATTATTGTAGGCAAATTTAGCTAATGGCAAATGACTATCCCAATTACCTCTAAGCTCAATGGCACAAGCTCTTAACATGTCTTCAAGAGTTTGTATGGTTCGTTCCGTTTGCCCATCGGTCTGGGGGTGGTAAGCGGTACTAAAACTCAGACGAGTACCCATGGCTTCCTGTAATGACTTCCAAAAGTTTGATGTGAATCTTGGATCACGATCAGATATGATATTTGTCGGCACTCTATGCAATCTCACCACTTCTCTTATGTAGATTTCAGTTAATTTTTCAAGAGAATACTTGATATTAGTAGCAAGAAAATGACCTGATTTGGTGAGTCGATCTACGATTACCCATATAGTGTCATGACTAGAAGATGTTCTAGGCAATCCTGTAATGAAGTCCATAGAAATGCTGTCCCATTTCCACTCTGGAATATCAAGAGACTGTAGCATCCCGGCTGGTTTCTGATGCTCAATTTTTACTTTCTGGCAAGTCAAACAACGAGTTACATGTTTAGTTATATCTCTCTTCATTTTTGGCCACCACCAACCACGTCTTAAGTCACGATACATCTTAGTTGCTCCTGGATGAATGGTATATCTACTCTGATGAGCCTCCTCAAGTAAGATATTTTTCAATCGAGTATCATTAGGCACACACACTCTACCTTTATATCTTACGACATCATCATCAGTCACATCAAAATGTTCAGCCTTTTCAGCCCCAATCTCTACCCTAATCTTATTTAAATGATCATCCTTCTGTTGCGCAATTCTAATTTCTTCCCAAAAATTATTCTCAAATTCAGTAATGTGTAGAGCAGCCAAATGATTTTCGACTACTTCTACATTTACTGCATGGAAACTACTCCATAATTCATGTTCTCTGACCATCATGTGAGCAGTATGCACAAGCTTCCTGCTTAGAGCGTCGGCGACTATGTTAGCTTTCCCTGGATGATACTTTAACTCAAAGTCATAATCCTTCAAAAACTCAATCCATCTGCGCTGTCTCATGTTGAGCTCCTTTTGATCAAACAAATATTTTAAACTTTTATGATCACTGAAGACCTCAAAAGAAGAACCATAAAGATAATGCCTCCAAATCTTCAAGGCAAATACTACAGCAGCAAGCTCCAAGTCATGAGTAGGGTAATTTTCCCCATGAGGCCTCAACTGTCGAGAGGCATAAGCCACTACTCGATCCTCCTGCATCAATACACAACCTAAACCTTTCTTGGAAGCATCAGTATACAAGGTATAAGGAGCAGTTGGAACAGGTAAGGTGAGTACCGGTGTGGTGGTCAACCTCTTTTTTAGCTCCTGGAAGGCAACTTCACACTCGTTCGTCCAAATAAATGGAGCATCTTTCCTGGTCAACTTAGTCAAGGGTATTGCAATTTGTGAAAAACCCTTAATGAAACGACGATAGTAGCCTGCAAGACCTAAGAAACTCCTAATCTCTGTCACACTTCGAGGTTGTTCCCATTTCATCACTGCATCTATCTTACTAGGGTCCACCGCTACCCCTTCTTCTGAAACAACATGGCCTAAGAATTTAACTTCTTTAAGCTAAAAATCACATTTGCTCAACTTAGCATAGAGCTTGTGCTCTCTTAATATCTCTAAAACAATT